ACGACGGCGTCTACATCACAGAAAACTGGGTGCGTGACCCAGGCAGAACCGCTCCCCTCCCGGTATCTCCTCTGTCCTCTACCAACTGCACGCGGGAATCCAGTAGAGGTTCCGAAATAACTTGAGTGGATCGTGACCAGGATTTTTTAAAACCCTGAAATGGAAAAACACAGAGGAGTGTGCACTGAGGTCGAAAGGGAGGGTTCTTGCAACCTCACTGATCCATGCATCCTCCTCCTGGAAATCAAAGCTCTGCACGCTGAGCAAAGCTGTGAACAATCAGGGACACTAGTCTGGAGAACATGGGAAAGGAAACCATGACATGAAAAGCAACACACTTTGGAGAATGGGTGCCAAGGATCTGCACACCGGCCCAGGTGTGCACGGGAAAAAAGATGGCCCCAGGGACCTGCAGCACTCGGGGCGACCTGCTCCTCCTCTGTGAGCCTCCTGTACTGGAGCTGATTTATCTCAACACGTTCGATGGCTTGGCTGTTTAACCTCAGCTCGTCCCGCTCCACGGTCGGTTGCCGCAGAGGCTCCTCTGTAAGAGCCACACCACCTACGCTTCCCCACATCACCGAAGAGCCAGAGCCGTGGGGGGCACGGACTAAACTTCTGGCTCTAAGTGTTAAAACATCTAAAACCTGCTCAAAACACAGCAGTTTTGCTGGCTGAACATGTCCCATGATGTTCCAAAAGCAGCACCTAGAACCAAGTCGGTCTCCCGGGCAGGACCTGGGGTCCCACATCACGGTCTGGTCAGCACAGCGCAGACGGCCTCTCGCGTTCCAGAAGAACGCTGGGTGCCGTGCGGGAAGCCTCGCACACTTACTGGCAGACTTGGCAGGTGACGTCCGACTGCAGCCCGCCCGTGAAGATCTGGTCTATGATGCAGTTGCAGTGGTTGGGGTTGTTGGCCTTCTTCCCATTATCGTCACCTGGGGAAAGATCACAGCTGTGGGATTTGCATCTGTGCCCCGAGTCCACAAGCTTCCAAGAGCCTCGGGCCCAAGGCGTGAGGCCATTCACCTACAGAGGCTGGTTAAGCCGAAGTGCCGAAACTTTCACAAGGGCACAGGAGGACCCTTATTCGAACAGGGAGACTTGGCAGGAAAAGAGGAAACAACCCAGCTAGCATATTTTAAGTGTGCTTCTCTTTCTCCATTCCCTAAGATCCGCTTGGCTTCTACGTAGATACCATGATGTAGCTAACGCCCAGTCACTGGGGAGAGTCACGGATTCCCCTTCCCCCACAGAACAAATGAGAGGCCCTGCCGTGGCGGGGCGCCCCACGCTGCTTCCCCCCTCCGCGGCACAGACACGGCGCCCCGACTTCAGAAAGCGTCTCTGCAGGACTCCCGTTGGTCTGTTTTCCCCATCAGCTCCTGCAGCCTGCAACTTCACGAACAGCTCTGCTTTCTTAAGCATTTGCACCTAGATAAGTACCACTCCGATCCTCTCTAGTTCAACACAGGTTTTATATATTCGGGGGCAAATATACAAATACAAAGCTTACACGCTGGAACACAATACATACTAACATGTATCGCAAATACATACTATAGAACTTTCATTCAACCAGACAAAGGAGATAGACTGTGTTTATCTGTATATATGTTCCTCCTCAAACAAGTGAAATTATTACCTAGGAATAAAGAATGCCCACTAAGTCTTTTGACAGCAAATCGCCTAGAGAGATTAGGGAGAAAATGCTACCCAGAAAGATTTCAAGTTCATGGGACAAAATGTCAGAATACAGGAAAATACATATAGGAAACCACAAAGGAAAATAAGCCAAAAGATACCCGATGCTCGCAACCACATAAAAACACGACCCAGCCAAGTGAACTAGCAAGGCTGAAGGAGAGATTGGAACACCTGCTTCTTTTTTTTTTTTTTTTTAAGATTTTCTTTATTTATTTGTCAGAAACAGAGAGAGAGGGAACACAAGCAGGGGGAGTGGGAGAGGGAAAAGCAGGCTCCCCGCTGAGGAGGAAGCCCAATGCGGGACTCGATCCCAGGACCTTGGGATCATAACCTGAGCCGAAGGCAGACACTTAACCGACTGAGCCACCCAGGCATCCCGGAACACCCTGCCTCTGACGAGACATTTCTTGTGACGTGTGCAATAGAATTACGTCAGAGAAGTGGATCATGATCATTGCATCGTGTTTCTGTCAGATGAACGTTTTCCCAGCAATGCATTTGAAGCAGCTGATTTTTAGGACAGACTAATGCTGGTTACAGAAGTCTCGTGATTATCCTCAAGTGCTCGGGATGATAATTTAATGGTCTTACACAGCGGCTCTTTTCGGTTTGTATGTTATACTTCATACTAGGAAACCAAACCTCACCTAAGCTATTCAGCACCGTGTATTTGGCTCCTCGGGTGAGCACTGAAAGGATGTATAGGTTTTTCAGGAGAAAAACACTTAAGTACACAAAAAAGCCAGAACCCAAAGCCCCGACAGCTGATGAGAACAAGCCACCTTATTCGGAGTCTGGCTGGCCTCAAAGTTGGGATGTCAGACCTCACAGGGCATTTGGGAGAGCAGCCCCGTGACTGCAGAAAGGCCGAGCAGGAGTCCTGGGGAACAGAACTGTGGTCCAACAGAATCACCGACAACCCGCCGGTCCACCCCAGAGGCCACAGGTAAGCAGGTAACTTGGTCACCCCGACACATGTCAGCTACACCTGAGTGTCTTCCCTGAACCGGCCCATGAGCATCACCGGGGACCCAGCAGGAAAATGCTGAGCTCACTCCACACCCAGCGAACAGAAGCAGCAAAGAGCCCTCCAAGGGACTGTGACCCATCACGGTCAAGAATCCTCCTCAGCTGATCCTGGGTCAGCACACTTGGGCGTAGGGCCTTCAGACTGGGAGCCCCGCCATGGGGAGGGCAGGAGGGACCCGCGGTGGCTTGTTATTCAGTCCTAACCTCCTGCCCCGAGCCCGAAGAGCTGCTTCCCCCATCCCCTTCCCCAGACTATCCAAACCCACCCACGTCTGAGACCCCTGGGGGGGCTGCCCCCCTCTGGGAGCCCAGCTGTGGGACAGAAGCCAAAACCCAGCGAGGTCCTGAAAGAGACTTTAAAAAGACCTTGGCTGGACCCCAAAATGAGCGTGACTTAGGGTAAGGGAAGCACTGGCGAGCGTGCAGGTCCAGTTTTGTATTCTCAGCTCTCTCTGGCGACTTTAGCGCCATGATCGGTCCTTCTGGAGACCCCACCAGGGGTGGGAGCCAGTGTTGATGGTTCAGCTGCATTTCGAGCATATATGGAATTTTCTGGCGTGTCAGGGGCCAAGTAACCCGGAGGAGCCGCACACCAGCTCCCTCACAATCAGTCCGAGAGGAAGCCGGCAGCAGAGGACTCGAGACAAAGGCCCGTCAAGGACGGAGACCTCTGTTCACTGCTACGGGTTTTACAGGACCACCCGCCATGCTCTTCCCTTCCCAGCAAGGTCGGAAGAGGACACCCCAAACCACTTCCTCCTCTCTTAAACTATGAAGAACCTCTCTGGGGTATTAATGGGGAAAAACACCACAATTAAAACACAAGTGCGCTGAGTCCCCCGTGGTGGTGTTCGAGAGCGCCCCCTATCCCAGGCGGGGGGCATGGCGGAACCGGGGCGGAGCCGCACCTTTGCAATGCCGGTGGAGGACGTCCAGGGCGGCGATGAGGAACTCATGCGCGTCCTGCTGTTCATACCCCGCCAGGTGCCGCGCGTGAGTCCACACCAGGTGCAGCAACTTGTAGGGGATGTGGGGGGAGCGGTGCCCCGAGTAGAACTGCTCACCGACAGGGAGAGGAGGAGAAAAACTGTCAGGAGTAAGTACTACGCTCTGAACACAAAGCACACACGATAAAAAAAAAAAAAAACCTGTAACAACAGCCTAGAATTTCTTGCGGGTACTCGGACAAAAGGATTGTTTTACTCCCACCGCCCCCCCCCTTTTTTTTTTTTAAATGTATTTTCATGTGGACTCCCTGGACTTTTTGAATCTATCATTTTGTCCCTTCCCACTGTCGGTTTTCTACAGAGAAGCCAAAATGAGGAATGGGGAATGCCCGATGCGGACACAAGGTGGGCGGCGGGCACGAGGCTGCGCTCGGAGGTACTGAAGAAAGCAGACGAGGCCGAACCCGCCGGCTCCTCTGCTGGGCCCCTGAAGCACATCTGGGTCCTCTCGGCAGCCACGAGGCAGGCGCCGGCCCCGATCTGTAGCTGGGCAGCCTCTTCGGTCACTAGGTGTGGGGGATCCCGCACAGGGACGCCTGAGCCCAGGCCTGAGCTGTCCCGCTGTGAGTGCGGCCTAGGCCCCAAGCAGAACAGAACCTGATGTGCGGGGCGGAGGGCCACCAAGACAGGTGCTCTAGTGGAGCACACTCAGGCCTGGCAAGAGAAGACAAGGGCCACTCTCCTTGAGAAGAGGACGGCAGACAACGAGGAGGATGAAACGAGCACGACATCTACAGACAGAGGTCTTCCACCCATTGCGCCCCCTCCGAAGGGCTCTTTCTCATCCTCCAAGTCAGCACCGTGCCTCCAAGTGATGCCAACAGTCCCTAGCAATTCCCTTTGGAAAAAATGTTCCATAAGAAATGCATGTATTATTCCCTGTGCAAGGTTCCAGAAACCTGCCTTCCTTTATTATGTGGACTTGACTTTTATTTAAAGGAAAAGTACAAGCGGTCACAGAAACGGTAGGCTGCCCACGCCAGCAGCGCTCACCTCCTGAAACAGCGACGACATCTCGCAGACCAGACACGAGCTGGGGGTCTGCATCTCACACCGGTGCCTGTCGGAGAGGAAGAAGTCTCGCAGGAGCGGCGTGTGCGTGAGCGCCTGGACGATGCAGTTCATGAAGCAGGTGTTGCCAAGGTTGATCAGCCCCCGCAAACCTGGGCAGAATAAACTTGAGTCTTCTTACAGGACAGACCGTCAGAGCCCCGGGGCAGGGACCATTTCCATCCATCACCATGAGGCCCCCCAAGCCTACCCCAGCTGCCCCCGTCCCCGGAGCACAGGTGTTCCAGAAGTTGGGGGAAGGGGGAATGATGAACGACTTATACAAGGGCTTAAGGAGAACCGTGCTATGAAATCCAGCTGTTTACATCGACTTTTAAACCCAGAGAAGCCAGCCTTCCTGGCAGAACAAACCACTGCTCGGGGCACTGTCGCCCACCTACCTATGGTGCAGTTGGAGGTGATCTTTCGCCTTTTCGGGTTGTGTTTCAGCAGTTCAAGCTCCCGTTTGGTGGGTTCCCAAGTTGAAAACTTCTCCCCAACGCCTAAGTAGATGGAAAACAGTTCCCGGTGCCATGAGCTCAGTTTTCATCAAGTGTTTGTAAATAAAAGCAATGGTGATAGAATACTTATCAGCTTGTATTTCAAAGAGGGGCAGCCACAACACGAGGTCTTTGTTGAACCGTATTATATTGCAACGGGCTAAAAACACTTAGGAGGAGTTTCTTTTAGAAAATGTGTGGTGGGGCGCCTGGGTGGCTCAGTCGGTTAAGCGTCTGCCTTCGGCTCAGGTCATGATCCTGGAGTCCTGGGATCGAGTCCCACATCGGGCTCCCAGCTCCGTGGGGGGTCTGCTTCTCCCTCTGCCCCTCTCCCACTCATGCTCTTGCTCTCTCAAATAAAAAAATTCTTTAAAAAAAAAAAAATGTGTGGTGAATAAGCGGTTTCCTGTGAGAAAGGCAACACCTCCAATTAACGCTACCGTAACGCTAATGCCAAGATGGGGATTTTTTGCAAAGCCTTTAATCCCTGAGTAGCGAGACTGCACCAGACCCGGCGGCAGATGCTACACTTGGCACTGAGATGAGGGGTCTCCCGTGAAAGAGTGAAAGCACAGGGAGAAAACGCACTCGCTGAAAGTTTGAAAATACATCGTGTTGAACAGCTGTACCCACAAAAGATTTATACCACAGACAATGGTGCAGATGCTAATTGTCACAATTCATCTTAATACCTACTTGTTCCATGTAACTTAAAATTTCTGCAAAATTCAATGACCTTTAAAGACATACTATCTCACTGACACCTGAAGTTGTAGAATGATTTTATTTTTTTAAGATTTTATTTATTTACTCATGAGAAAGAGAGAGAGAGAGAGGCAGAGGGAGAAGCAGGCTCCCAAGGAGCAGGGAGCCCGATGCGGGACTCGATCCCAGGACCCTGAGATCATGACCTGA